TTTGTTTTCTGTGCCTTCACAAATGGCTTCTCCTGCTTTTGCTGAACTTGCCAGCTTGCAGGGTTATTTTGTTTCACCTGGATTCTGTTTTCCTCACATAGAAACAAGCTTACTTTTAATAGCTGTATTCATAATTTTAACTGCCTGGGCATCCTTCTCCAGTTCTCAAGTGTGGGCTTGGAGACTCCAGATTTTGTTTTTAAATAGCTTGCATCACTTGCAGAGAAGTCATTCTCTTTGGCTGCCCTCTCCATTTTAAGCACACTTCTTATTTTTATGAAGTTCCTCTTCCTAAACCAAACACAGTTCTGCTCTTGCACGTTTAATCCAGCTGTGCTCTGGTTGCCATTTCAGATTTTACATGTTGATCTGTGCCCTGTGGGATTCCTTAGGGCAAATTTTGGGGTGTTTTTTTCCCTCTTTTGGAACAAGTTGCTGTACAGAATGCCTGGGGTGTGTTCTCAGTGCTGTGCCCCAGTGCAGGGGCTTGCCCATTGTGTGCTGGTGACAGAGGGCTCCTGTTACTGTTCTGTTTCCTGGCTTTGTCACCTCCCCAGTTCCCCCCTGTGTGTTGGGCAGTGCTGCTGTTCTGGACAGGCCAACCCTGCCATTACTTGACCCTTGAATTTTCAGTCCATGGGCTTTGTATTGTTTATCTATATGGTCAAATGGCTAATTTGATTAGACTTTAAGCTCTCTCTTAATGGATCAGCAATTCCTACTGGCATACCATGTCCTTCCTGATACCAGTGTTTTGCTTTTCAGTTTCCCCTCTGAATTTCCAGTAGAACTGCATGTGACCTTCCTGCTGTTGGCTGTTCCACTTTCTAGGCTGTTTCCTTCACCCAGCTGTGAAAGTCTGGGTTCACTGTTTTGGTTTTGTCCTTTTCTTCAGCTCACCAAGCTGCTTCTCTTGTCTGTTCTTTGGTTCCTATTTGTTTGTTGTCCATCCCTATCTCCTGCTGGCCCAGGTCCCTGTCTCTGGTGGGTGAGCTCTCCTTGACACATATCCCAGAGTTCCTGCTGCTGGAGAATGTGGTGCATCACTTCAAGCTTCCCTGTGTGCTTGATCTGAAGATGGGGACCAGACAGCACGGAGATGATGCCTCTGAGGAGAAGGCTGCTCGGCAGATGAAGAAGTGTGAACAGAGCACTTCTGCCACCTTGGGTGTGCGTGTGTGTGGGATGCAGGTAGGGATCCCCCAGGCTGCAGATGCTGTAACTTCCTTTTCACAGCTGCATTGAGCCTTCCCGTTAGTGTTTCCTGCTGAGCACTGAATTTGAACCTCCCTCTGCAGGTAGGTACAGCAGCATTCATGCTATTTTTGTCTTCATTTCTAAGCCTAAAACAAATGAACCTGCTCTCCCTGAGATGGCCTTTGTCCAGAGCTCCTTTGTTCACAGACAGTTAGGGGATTTTCTAATAAAATTATTTTTGTGGCTTAGTGTTCAGCCAGAGTCACAATGCCTAGGGATGAAATTGTCTGACATTTGCTTCTGTACTGCACTGATTGTTAAAAAGTTGCTCTGCTGTGCCTGGGCCTGTGCACAAGGGTTTGCTGTTGTGCAATAATTGCTCCTTTCCCCACCTGCCGAAGGAACCAGATCTTGTAAACCCCAATCTCTGCCCACAGACTCTGAAGCAATGAGGGCTCCTCATTAATCACTTGCCATGTAATGGCAATAGGTGTCAGCAGCTCCTGCTGCCAGAGGATTGTCTGAGTTGCTGTAAGACTTGGCTTTTTAACTCTTAGGGGCCAGTTGTGTCATGCCTTTTTGGGGCACTGGGACTCGTGAGCCCCTTTTGGGTGTCCTGGAAGAGGACTAGTGCTCAGGCATCCTGAGTCTGCCCCTGGGCATCACCCATGAGCTGCTCTGGGGTGCAGGGATTGGGCAGAGCTGTGTCCTGCTCCCACTCAATCATAATGGGGATAGGATGAGTTCCCTCTGCCCTGTCAGTGCAGGACAGCTCAGGGCTCTCTGCAGGGCCTTAGCCCGTTGCTCCCACGTGATGTGCATTTCCTTTGGTGTTCCAGGTCTATCAGCTGGACACGGGGCATTACTTATGCAGGAATAAATACTACGGGCGCGGCCTTTCTATCGAAGGCTTCCGCAACGCCCTCTACCAGTATCTGCACAACGGCATCGAGCTGCGCAAGGACCTCTTTGAGCCTGTCCTGGCCAAACTGCGCAGCCTGAAGGCGGTTCTGGAGAGACAGGCCTCCTACCGCTTCTACTCCAGCTCCCTCCTCATCATCTACGACGGCAAGGACAGCCGCGCGGGGACCCCGCTGGAGCGCCGGCCCGAGGCGCGCCTGAAGCGCGGGGAGGGCTCGGTCCCGGAGAGCCTCCAGGACGGCGGCAGCTCAGAGCCCGGCTCCTCGGCCCAGCCCAAGGTGGACGTGCGCATGATTGACTTTGCTCACAGCACCTTCAAGGGCTTCCGCGACGACCCCACTGTGCACGACGGACCCGACATGGGCTACGTGTTCGGGCTGGAGAGCCTCATCAACATCATGGAACAGATGCGGGAGGAAAACCAGTAGCTCTGGGCTGTGGCCTCTTATTCTTGTCCTGGTGGCAGGAGCGGACAAGACCACCCACTACCACAGGAAAAACACAGACAAATTTGGTTTTAAACAACTGTATCGCTCTGTTGTTTTTTAAATGTACTTGGATAGAAGAGCTGAGGTGAGGCAGGATGGAAGAACTCCTCGTGCTGACCGGATGGTTCTGACCGCACTTGCTCTGCCTTCTGGAGGAGGCTCTGTAGATGCCTGCTGGGTGTCAGGTGTCCCGGTTCTTCGCTCGTCATATGTGCGTTCTGGAGGGAGGACCTGGACATAGGGAAGAGAAAGCAGGAGAGCCCAGGGCTCTTGATGAGGCTGGAGCTCTGGTGTGAGGAGCCTTCTGTTTGCAGGAGCTTCCCCTTTGAATTTCTCCTGAGTTGTTGGAAAGGGCGCATGCCCGACGGTTCGCAGCGTCTGTGAGGCCCCCAGTGAGCAGTCAGGTGCCGGTCCCTGTGTTTGGTGTCGCAGGCTCTGCCCTGGGTTTTGCCAATGGGGCTTTGCTTTTGATGCTGCCTTTTTCTGCTGTTTGGGCACTGTGAGTATCTACCCCAAACACGGAAATGAAATGACCAAATGCAGTCCCTGGCAGAGCTGTGGCCCGGAGGGAATGCCACACACGTAGAGCTGTGCTTGAGCCTGGGGTCTGCTCGCTCCCTGATGGCATGGCATGGAATGGCATGGCATAGGCAGGCACAGGGCTCTGCAGGAGTGACTCTGCCCTGGACCACTGACTTGAAAGCGCTCAGCTCGTGGGCTAGCAATAGTATCTGTAGCAGTTAACATGACCCCAGCTGTGCAGTGGGGCATTTTGGACCATTTCAACCCTTCCCCTCCTGTACAGTACAGAGTATGTCCCTCCAGCACAAAGCTGCCCTCTTCCCCCGGGGACCCTCTGCCCCCAGGCCCTGCTCTCCAACAGGTCTGGAGGTGGTGGAAGGGGAGGCTGAGGCTTAGGGCTGATCCCCATCCCCTCCCTGAGGGTCTCTAGAGGCCAGGTGAGGGGGTGACCTAGCTGAACAGTGAGAGCCACTGTCTTGACTGTTCAGTACCACTGCCTGACTGTTCAGCTTTGCTTCACGGAGTCAGTGTCTCCCAAAATAAATGTCGCCAGCCTCCTTTGATGAGGAATTAACATTTGATACTGTGGCCTGGTGGTACCGGACCGAACCCTGCTCCACCTCAGCTCCTGTTTCTGTGCTGGGGCCCTGGCTGCTCCCTTGCACTCTCACTGACTTGCTCCATGGCATTACCATGACCCTGTGTACCCACAAGGCCAGGGTTGGGGTTTTTTTTAATTACTTCAGGGATGCTTGTTTGGGGAATACTCGCATGTCGCATGTGTGCCGACTCCATGTGCGCAGAGGCCGCTCGGAAAGCATGGCTGCCACATCTCAGGCATAGGTCTGTGGCACTGGTGTGGAAGGGGGCAGGAGAGCTGCCCCATTTCTCTGCCTGTCTCTCAGCTCCTCAAAGCCTGCCCAAGCCTCTGCTCCCCTTCCATCCTCTGGAGAAGGACCTTTATCCATGGCACGCTGCCCTGCACTGGGTTACTTCATTGCTCCTGCGGGTCCCTACCTTGCCAGGACTCGCAGGATTTTCAGGGAGCAGGTTTGCAGGAGGCAGCGAGGCTGGGTGAGTGCAGGGGTGTAGGTACCCACAACAGCCGCATTATTCCCTGGCCCTGCCCTTGCGTGGCCCATCGCCGCCCACCTCTGCATGTCCTTGTCCCCGCGGGCTGTGCTCGGGTGAGCCGGGCCGCCCCGCGGGAGAGCCCCTTGCTGTCCCCCGCGCTCATTCCTGCCTTTCCCCGCCTCACTGGGCCGTGACGGACGGGCCACGCTGCCGGTGCTCAGTGGGAGCCGCCTCCCTCCCTTCGGACCACCGCGGTGGGACTCCACAGCTTGTACATAGCCTTGGCCCCGTTTGTTTTTACATGAATAACCACCCTGTTTGTGCTTCACAGAGAACCAAAAACCATTAAAGGATCTGTTTTTGTCCGCGGCGTGCCGTGCCTGCCTCTCCCGCCGTCTGAAGCGTGGGGTTTAGGGGGGTTTGGATGAACGTCCCCGCCCGCTGCGCCTGTGGCCTCTGCTCTCCTCTCATCGAGGTCGCCCCGTGGCTGCTGCGTCCCGAGGGCGCCCCGGGCAGGGTGTGGTGGCTGCAGCAACGACCCGGCCATACGGCCATGGGCCCCGGGCGGGCCTTCAGAGCCGGCTGGGCGGGGGAGTGTACGGGGCGGGCGGTGTGTCAGGGGCAGGGCCGTGTGCCGCGGGCGGGCGGTAGGACCCGGCGGAGGCAGGGCCCGTCGGGCGGGGCGCTGTGCCGGGGCCGGGCGGTAGGGGCTGGCGGAGGCAGGGCCCGTCGGACGGGGCGCTGTGCCGGGGCCGGGCGGTAGGACCCGGCGGAGGCAGGGCCCGTCGGGCGGGGCGCTGTGCCGGGGCCGGGCGGTAGGACCCGGCGGAGGCAGGGCCCGTCGGGCGGGGCGCTGTGCCGGGGCCGGGCGGTAGGAGCGGCGGAGGCAGGGCCCGGCGGACGGGGCGGCGCTGCGCGGCGGTGACGCGCCCGGCGCGCCCGGCGCTGACGTGTCGGTGCGGGCGCTGGCGTGAGACGCGGGACGTGGGGGATGCGGGCGCTGATCCTGGTTGGCGGCTTCGGGACGCGGCTGCGGCCGCTGACCCTGAGCCGGCCGAAGCCGCTGGTGGAGTTCTGCAACAAGGCGGTGCTGCTCCACCAGCTCGAAGCTCTCCGGCAGGTGGGGGCGCGGGGCGCGGGGGGCGCGGGGGCCGCCCCGCCGCCGGCTGACCCGCGCTCCCGCAGGCGGGCGTCAGCCATGTGGTGCTGGCGGTGAGCTACATGTCGGACGCGCTGGAGGCCGCTATGCGGGAGCAGGAACAACGGGTAAGAGCCCTTCCGTGTCCTCCCTCTTCCCCCCGTTACCCGGCCTGTCCCGCCGCTCACCCTGTGCCCGCAGCTCGGCATCCGCATCTCCATGTCCCACGAGAAGGAGCCACTGGGCACAGGTAGGATTCGGGCGGGAGCTTGGGGCTGGAGGGCGGGCGCAGGCGGGATGGAGGAGGTCCAGGGACAGCAGGGTGGGTGCTAGCGGGGGGACACCGGGATGGATACGGCACGGCTAGAGCCGCTGGGAGGGGGGCACCGTGGGCATGAGGGTGGGTATGGATGGGTAGGGCTGGGGGACACCGGCAGCGGGACACCATGGGCAGCAGCATGACTGTGGATGGGTAGGGCCGGCAAGAGCATGGGAACCGGGAGGGGTATGCCAGGATCGACATGGGCAGGACCAGGGACAGCGGGCCGGGTGAGGATGCAGAAGGATTGGGGACTCGGGAGGGATGCTGGGACGGGCAGAGGTGGGGCCAGCAGGACCCGGGCTCACCACGTCCCTGCGGCCTCACTCACGGCCGCGCAGCGGGGCCGCTGGCGCTGGCGCGGGACCTGCTGGCCGAGGACGGGGAGCCCTTCTTTGTCCTCAACAGCGACGTGATCTGCGAGTTCCCCTTCGCGGCGCTGGCCCGTTTCCACCGGCAGCACGGCGGCGAGGGCTCCCTGGTGGTGACCCGCGTGGAGGAGCCGGCCAAGTACGGTGTGGTGGTGTGCGAGGCCGACACCGGCCGCATCTGCCGCTTCGTGGAGAAGCCGCGCGTCTTTGTGTCCAACAAGATCAACGCTGGCCTCTACATATTTAACCCTGGCATCTTGCAACGCATCCAGGTACGAGCCAGGGTGCCAGGCTGGGCCGGGCTGAGGGGCTGTGCCCCCTGCTCAGCCCTGTGCCCTGTCCTCGCAGCTGCGCCCCACCTCCATCGAGAAGGAGATCTTCCCAGCCATGGCACAGGATGGGCAGCTCTACGCCATGGAGCTACAGGGTAAGGCCCTGTGCACAGGGCAGGCAGCATTGGGGGTCTTGCCTGCACTGCCACCCTCACGCTGGGAGCTGTCACCATGGCTTTGTCCCCACAGGCTTCTGGATGGACATTGGGCAGCCAAAGGATTTCCTTACGGGCATGTGCATGTACCTGCAAGCGCTGCGGGCTCAGCATCCCGAGAAGCTGCACTCAGGGCCCGGTGTCGTAGGGAATGTGCTGGTGGTAAGTGCCAGCCCCCAGCACACCAGCCCTGGGCACGTCATGAGCTCTCTGCATTGTTCCACCACTGCCCTCGCTGCCATCCTCAAGCTGTGCCCTCCTCTCCCCTGGCTGGCCAAGTGGCATGGGCTATGCCAAGAGCTGTCTGCCCTTCCGACCCTGGCATGGGCCCTCTTCCTTCCAGGATCCCAGTGCCAAGATTGGGGCAAACTGTGTCATCGGCCCCAACGTGACGATCGGGGCCGGCGTGGTGGTGGAGGACGGGGTGCGCATCAAGCGCTGCACTGTGCTGGAAGGGGCCCGCATCCGCTCCCATTCCTGGCTGGAGTCCTGCATCGTGGGCTGGAGCTGCTCTGTGGGGCAGTGGGTGAGGACATGGGTGCCCTGCAGGGGATCGGGACTCAGCTCTTGCCCTCCCACCTCCTTGGGCTGTGGTCCCTGCAGGCAGGAGCAGGAACCCGAGCCCAGGGGTGTGACAGGGCCTCTCTGGGGCAGGTGCGCATGGAGAACGTGACTGTGCTGGGCGAGGATGTCATCGTCAACGACGAGCTCTACCTCAACGGGGCCAATGTGCTGCCACACAAATCCATCGCCGAGTCTGTGCCAGAGCCACGCATCATCATGTAGCAGCCCCCAGCAGGCCCTGTGCTCCCAGCTCTCCTTGGATTAAATATTTATATTTCCATTTACTGTTAAGCATCACCTGAGTGCAGCCCCAACACCGGGGGCCTTCCCTTTCCCATCTTTCAGGGCACCACATAAGGAAGAATAATTTAATGCTGCTTTTCATGAAGTCAGCCCCCAGCCAGGGGCAAGTTAACAGCCCAAATGCCCAGCCCAGCCCCCTGCCCTGGCCCCGGGGCTGCCGTGTGTTCCCAGTGCTGCCGCAGAGCCGAGGCCTTGGGCTCCCCTCCCTGAGAACGGCCCCTGGGGCAGAGAGGCTGCTGGGCACCTGCCTTTCCCACCCTGCAGCCCTCCTGCCTCACGCTGCTGCCCCATGCTGGGTCCTGACCCTCTGGGTGAGGGTGCCCCAGCCCTGAGCAGGGCAGGGTTTGGGGAGAAGGCAGTGTGAGGCAGGGGGGCTGCCCCGCTCCGCTGGGGGAGCCCGTGGTGTGGGGCTGGGCTCTACGAGCTGGCTGGCTTGGTGAAGTCGTCCACCCCTGTGATGGTGGCCTTACAGAAGAAGCAGTCCTTGTTGTTCATCAGGTGCTGGTTGATGCAGGCTCTGGGACAGAGGAGGAAAGAGCATCAGCCCCCACCCACACAGCACAGGGCAGGGCCAGGGGCTGGCAGTCATCCTGGTGGAGGTCAGACACGGGAGCTACTCACTTGCATGACTTGTGGGAGCAGGGCCTGAAGATGGCCGAGATGGGGTGTGCGTAGCAGATGGGGCACAGGTCTTCCTCGCTGGTGGGCTGTGGGGGTTACCAGGAGTTAGCAGTGCCATCCAAAGTCCCGTGTCCCAGGCCTGCTGTCAAGGACTGGGACAGGGCTGGGGCAGGGGGAGGGGGAGGACTCACCAGTGTGGTTGCAGCTGCCTGCTTGGACTCCTCACTCAGATGGTTCAGCATCTTTTCCACCTTTGTCAGCTCCTCAGTACTGATGTACTCTGTGTCTGGGGAGCAAATTGGGTGTGTGTGGGGTGAATGGGACCCTCAGGCTGTCCTGAGGCTGCTGAGTGATGCACAGGGGCTGCAGCTGCCCTTGGGGACCAGCAGGACAGGGAGCACCGGACACTGAGAAGGGCAGAACTACTGGCTGGCACTGGATACATCCCCATCCAAAGTGCTGCTCCTGGGGTGGTAGAGGAGGGCATAGACACCTGTCCCCACAGACTAAAAGGGCTGGGATGTTGCAGGGGACACAGACACCAGCAGCCCCATTCCTCCCTCCCCAGCTGTGGGTGGGAGGTGAGCAGAGCCCAGCTCCCAGTGCAGGGCCAACACTTACAGGTGTGCAGGGAGAAGTGGCGCTTGTCCGTGGCCGGGGCGGCTGCTGCCAGGGCCGAGGGCTCGGCGTGGCCCAGCAGGTACTGGATGGAGCGCAGCTGGAAGCAGGGGTCTGCCAGCAGCACCGCGGTGGCGCGCTCGGTCCTGCCAGGGAACACAGAGCTCAGACAACCCACCCTGAGCTCCCACACCAGCATCCCCAGCTGCTGTCCCCCCAGTCCAGGGGAACGTGCTCAAATGCAGCCAAAGAGCAGCAGCCATCATCCTCCTCCTCTGGCACCCCGACTCAGAGGCTCGGGGATCGATGTGGTGCTTCAGCACTTGCTGAGGCTGCAGCCCTCGGGCCAGTGCCTGAGCCTGGGGTTGCTGCAGGGCGGCTGAAGCATCCAGCGCTGCCCTTGGTCACAACACCTCAGGGGAGATGCTCTGCAGAGCCTCACACAGGGGCTGGGGCCCTCCTGCACCAACAGGACAGCTCCGGGTGTGCTCAGGGAAAACGGGTCCCCCCAAAAGGCAGGAGGGAGGAGTCGTGGTCCTCCCTGATTTCAGCGGGCACAGCCAGGACGGATGAAGGTCGCCTTAATGAGTGTCTCCCTCGGGCACCAGTGCCTGGTAACAGTCCCTGGCAAGGAGCAGAGCTGGCTCTGTGGCCGGCCCAGGGGCAAGCAGAGCCGGCCCAGCGGCAGGAGGGGCAATGGAGCAGCCAGTCAGCACAGGCTGAGCCAGGGCACAGGGGGTTAACAGCCCCTTGACTCGCAGCAGCCGCAGCCGCCAAATTAGCTTTTTGCTGCCCTAATGGAAAACAATTCCCCAGCTCTCCTCTTCCCACTAAACCGCCTGAGCTCTGGATAATGACATTCCTGCGTGTCCTTCACCCTTCCCCGGCCACTCCTTCCCTGTCAGCAGCCCGCGGCACCCCCTCTGTCGCGGGGACCCCACCGGGCTGAGCCCCCCTGCTCACCTCAGGGCCGGGGGTGCTGGGGAGTCCCCAGCTCGTGGGATGATGAGGATTAGGGAGCAAGAAGGATCACGGCTGGGAGAGAAGCAGCACTGGGGTTGACTGCCATCCCCACTCCCAGCATGGGTGCAGGATGTGACACGAGGGGCTCCCAGAGGTGACGGGTTTATTCCAGCATTCTGCCAGAGGCTGGGCAGCGGCGGAGCAGCCGCTCCATGGATTACAGCCGGTCGCGGCTCCCCGGCGGCTGCACACCGGTACGGACAGTGGTCATCAGCTCCCCTGGGGACGAGCGACCACGCAGGGTCGGTGCTGGCTGCGCATCGCTCTGCCCACCCGCAGGGAGGGCCACGGCCAGGGAAGGGGACAGGGACCGGGCCAGGGCCACCACTCCCCGCGCCGGGGCCAATGAGATCCCGCCCGGCCCCCTCGCCGCGCACCGCCCGCCCGTAAATAGGGGCAGGAGCGGGACCGCGCTCCCGGAGCTCCCGGAGATGCTGCCCGGGACGGAGCCGGACCAGGCTCCCCGGAGGTCGCAGCGTGCGGATGTGCCCCGGCGGCGCTGAGCCCTGAGAAACTTCGCGCTCCAGGGATGAGCAGCTCCAGGAGGCAGCGAGGCGCCCGCCCAGCCCGACACAGAGAGCGCCCGAGCGCCTCAGCCCCCCGATGCTGATCGGCGGCGCCCACCCGAGCCCCGGCAGCCCCCGGCCCCCGGCAGAGCAGGTACGAGGCAGCCTCGGGTGAGCCGCGCCAGAGCCGGGCAGGGCGATGCCGCCCTTTAGGTCTTTTCAAGCCCCACGGCTGGAATCGGGATCCTCTTTCGCGGGGGGCAAAAGGGCTCCTGTGGATGCTTGGTAGAGCCAAGCCAGCGCTGGGGGAGAGACGAGAGACGGCGGCAGATTTTTTCTCGCGTCTCATCGAGCCTGGCTGTGCCGCGGGGCTGTACAGAGGCTCCTGCCCGCCACAATGTCCTCGCCGGCGACCGCGGACTCGGTCTGGCCGCGGGTGGCAAAGCTGCTCCTGCTGCTGCTCCAGCTGTGCGCCCCCCGAGCCTCCCCGCAGCCCCGCCGCTGCCCCGACGCCTGCATCTGCACCTCCGACCTGCTGAGCTGCAGCCGGCAGATGCTGCCGCGGGTGCCTCAGGCACTGCCGCCCACCACCACCACGCTGGACCTCAGCCACAATGCCCTCACCCTGCTCCACGACCACTGGCTGGCTGCCCTCCCGCACCTCGAGGCCCTTCACATCAGCCACAACCAGATTCGGGACCTTTCTCCGCGGGCTTTCCACAACGCCTCCTTCCTGCGGCACCTGGACATGTCCTCCAACCACCTGCAAGCTGTGGAGAGGCACTACTTCGAGGCGCTGGTGAGCCTGGAGGAGCTGCTGCTCTACGACAACCACATCAAGCGGGTGGATGAAAACGCCTTTGCCAAGCTGAGTGACCTGCGGAAGGTCTACCTGAGCTGGAACAACCTGACCACCTTCCCCTTCCATGCTGTGCAGGGGCTGGGAATCCACAAGCTCCGCACGCTGGACCTCTCCTCCAACAGCCTGAGCAACATCCCCGTGGAGGTGCTGGCAGCTCTGCCTGAAAACGTTGGCAATGGCTTGTACCTGCACAACAACCCCATCAGGTGCAGCTGCCAGCTCTACCTGATGCTTCAGCGCTGGAATCAGAGAGGTTTCAGCTCTGTGAAAGATTTCTCTGAGGAACACACCTGCAAGGTGTCTGACAATGTGCCCCGGTCCCTGATCAAGTTCCTCAAGCACAGAGACATGTTTGAGAACTGCTCGGCGAGCACCGAAGATGCGCACCTCTCGCACCTGGAGGTGGTGGTGGGCCAGCCTGTCCTGCTCACCTGTAACACCAGTAACAGCAGCCTGCCCCACGCTGCCACCACCTCCATGTGGATCACCCCTCACCACGAGCCCATCAAACACCCAGGGAACAGCAATCGCTCCCTGGAGGTCTATCGCAATGGGAGCCTGAGGATCGCCGCAGCCAAGCCCTGGCTCTCGGGGGTCTACGTAGGCTTGGCCATGAACAGCCCCTACAACTTCAGCAGGATGTGCGAGTTCAACGTGACCGTCCTCTACCCCAAGGCAGCTGGGGAGACCTTCAGCACTGGCCTCACGACCCTGCTGGGCTGCATCGTGAGCCTGGTGCTGGTGATCATCTACCTGTACCTGACGCCGTGCCGCTGCCTGGGCTGCTGCAGGAAGCCGGCCCCGCCAAGCCCCCCGCAGGAGTGCAGCGCCCAGTCCTCCATCCTCAGCACCACTCCCCCTGCCACCGACGGGCCGCACCGCAAGGCCAGCGCCAACAAACACGTCGTCTTCCTCGAGCCCATCAGGGAGACACAGAACGGCAAGATCCGCCTGGCCCTCGGCGAGGACTTCCCCGACCCCAAGCACCCCAAGGTCCTGCAGCTCAAGTCGGACTCAGAGTCCATCAGCTCTGTCTTTTCTGATACCCCCATTGTGTCTTAGTGGGACAGAGCTGGAGCAGAGCCGAGGCCTCCTGAGAGCTGGTCTGCTCCATCGCTGCTAGATCAGGATTATTGGGCATCCCGAGTTCCTGGCTTGACCACGACCCATGGGAGCGACTGACATCACCCACTACTGCTTCAGCCACAGGCTCCTGGTGGGTTTTGGGCCACGGGCACATTGGTGCCCAGCAAGAGCACCTTGCATAATCTGCTGGCAATGGCCTTGTTAGCATGTGGGTAACGCTGATGAACCCAGCATGTGGAGAAATATCCCTTCATTTGGGCACCCTCCCTAATGTGACACCAGGCCTGGGGGGTCTCTCATGTCCCCAGGCATGAGATGCCCAACCTGACACCACTGCCACAGACCCCATAGGCCAAGGAATAGCTGTGACAAGTGGGACACTGTCCTGGCTCATGCCAGGGTCCTCAGGATTGGTGATGCCACCGTCCTCTCCCAGCACACGCCATCAGCATGTCATGGCTGGGAGCAGGGGACTGTGACCCTGTCACAAATGGGGGGTACACACCCCCACAGCCCTCCCCAAACGTGGCCATGCAGGAGGGAAGGAGCTCAGCACCCGACCAGCCACGCAGCCAAGCAAACCTTCCAAGCTTTTGCTTCCTGAGAAGCTGTAAATCGTCCAGGCAGGACAAGGTGACGAGCCACAGCGCCCCAGCCCGCACTGCTCAGAGCTCACCGTGCCACCAAGGACACCGAGGTCCCCGATGCGCCACGCGCTCCCCCGCTGCTTCTCCTTGAGGCGGACATGCTGCTCGAGCACAGCTATTTAGGCAGTAACCCAATCAGCCTATCGATAAATGTGAGTAATCCTCCCCTCTCCTGGGTCGTAATTCTCTAGTTCCATTGGAATAAAAATGCCTATTTTTTTAAGCTCACGCTGGGCTGAGTGTCTCCTTGCCCTTGAAGCAGTGTGCAGCTCACGGGCACAGCGGTGGGAGGCTGAGGGAGCCCTGCATTCCTGCAGGCCTGGCACACGGAGCCAGGCAATCTGCACTGGACTGGCAGCCTCTGTTCCCATCAAATGGCCTTCAGGTGGCCTTGGCAAGGGGATTAAATGGGTGGTGTGCTGCTGGTGAGAGAGAAGCACCCAGTGGCTTGTCCTTGGGAGGGCAGGTCCCCTAAATGATGCCTGGGAGCTGGGGAAGGAGCAGCACTGACTGACACGAGGGCACATCCAGACCCCAAAAGGAACAAGCAGGCTTTAGATGCAGGGGAAAGAAACCACTAGGGATGGGCATTGCCTTTGGCAAAGCCCTGGTGTTTCCTGCAGATGGAGCCCCCCACTCATTTCCCCTGCGCTGCCTTCCCTGGCACCAACCCTTCCCTCTTCCTGAAACAGGGGGTGGTTCTGGCCCCCCCAAAATGCCTGTCTGATCCCACCGAGGGATAAGGGTATCCTACCCATCTGCCAGTCACCAGTGTCCCATGCACAGCTGGAGCAGGAGCATGTGGCCATCACATGCAGCACAGGGGAGGCCGGGGCTACCAGCTGTGGGCAGGAGCACAGCTCAGACACCATGGGGACCAGGACCCTTCAGACACCTGCAGCCCCCCCTGTGGCTGAGCTCTGGTCCCAGGAGCTGCTGGCAGCCCTGTGACTGGCAGCAGGGGAAGAACCCTGTGGCATTGGGACCACACTAGCACACATCCTTTCAACTTCTCTGGCTAGGAAACAAGCAGCTTTTTCCCCAGCAAAACCTTAACTTTGTGCCCAAGTAAACTGCCAATACTGCCCCCCCCATGCAGGGAGGGGTGAGTGCCTGGCAGAGCAGCTCTCCTGAGGCAGCCTGGCCTCCCAGGCCGCTCCTGCCGTGACTTTGTGCAGCTCCGTGCCCCGCGGCAGCCGGAGGTGACGGATGCACAGCGACAGCCCCCGCTGGCCGTGCCCTCGATGGCCCTGTCACCTCATGTTAGTGCAGTGTCCTGACGGGCCAGGACGCCGTGCCAGCCACACGGGGGCTGCCGGGGCTGCCGAGGTGTGGCAGTGTCAGACACAGAGGTGAGCGGCACCTTGAGGGTGGAGCTGAGCTGCTGCCATCACCCCTGGCTTTGCAGCCAGGCAGGGATCCCATGGGAAGGAAGGTCTGAATTTAACCTGGGAATGTCTGGGAAAGAGAAGAGACCCAGCTGACTGCAGCCAGGGCCCAGCAGAGCATGTGTCACATCTCAGCACATCTTCCTCCAGAAGGAAAGACGAAGTGCTGCTCTGGGCCCCAGCACCCAGAGTGGGTGTTACCCACCCATTATCACCATTCTTGTCTGTCTCCCCAAAAATCTTCCCCACTGCCAACACCAGCTTCCCAGGCATTAGTGCTCCTGCAAACCTGCATCCTCGGTTGAGGATAATGACTGAAGATTGGGGAAAGCTCAGGGAACGTAAGAAAAGCTCCCAGGGGCCTTTCCAGGACACATCAGCCTGAAAAAGCCCAGGAGAGCTCTCCTAGGCTGGCTGAAATTCTCCTGTCCCTGCAGGAAAGCTGAGGCTTGCTCTCCAGGGCCTTGCTCTGAGATTTGTATCTGCGCTGCCCTCAAGGGATCCCTCTGCCTCTACCCAGGAAAGTCCTGCTGCTGCTTTTCACACATTCCTGATGCTCAGGAAGGATCCCACACCACCACACTGCTGATCCAATGAGCTCTGGGAGGTGGTTTGAACTGTTCATTAAGCAGCCTGAAAGGCAGAACATCTCAGCAAGGAAAAACAGCCAGGAGCAAAGCCTCTCTGACAGGCAGGAGCTGGGAAACCTAATGGATCTTCCCCAAGGAATACACTGTCCTCTCCTGGCAGCCATCTCCACCATTACACCCCTGGCTCCCTGCCAAACCTCCCTCCTGCTCCTTGACTCTGCAGGGCAAAGTAATGGGTCAGCAAAACCTCCCTGGCCCTGGCACACAGGGACCTGTGCCAGTGTGTGTGGGGACAAGGACTGGCTTTGGGATAAGGATGGCTTTGGGATAAGGACTGGCTTTGGGGACCAGTGTCCAACACTGACTCCTGTCTCCTCTGGCACCTCACACCTCAGCCAGGACAATGGGGGAGCACTGACTGCCAGTGCCATCCTGTCCTCCTGTCACCAAGGAGGGACACAGCAGGGTCTGGATCCTTTCCTTTTGATGCTCACAGTTTTCCAGAGAGCTCAAATCAGCAAAGCCTGGTGCTGGCCAGCACAAGACCTGCTCCTGCCTCCCAGCATGTGCCTGACAGCCCCAAGGGGCTGGGAGAGCCCTGGCAGTCCCATCACTCAGGATGCAGCACTTGGAGCTGGCAGCTTGTAAAAACACTGACCACACTCCTTTTTTAACCATGAGACCTAGGCCACAGCTAATAATTCTTCTGTGCTCTGGATACCAGGTACCAGGACTTCTTCAGACTGTATGGTCCATGAAATGTCTACTCCTGCCCCTCCTTCCACCACAACTTGCTCACCAACACTGTCGAGGGAGCATTAGAGTTTAGGGGATCCCAAATTAATTACGAAGTCTTATAGGAACTGCCATGTCCACAGGTCCAGCCAAGCCCCCAGGGTCTCAGCAGCACTTGAGCACACAGATGGGTGGCCAGGCTGATTAGGAATCTGCAGGCTGGGATCTTCTGAACTTTCCAGTGGAGGTGATCCCAAAACAATTTAGGAACTGAGCAGTCTTTTTAGCCTTCCTCTCCCACCCAGTCTTGTGCCTCCTTACCTTTCTGCTCACCAAGTGTGTTGCTTCTGCCCCAGGAACCCCTTTGTCTCCTCCCAGCCCATCTCTCTGCACTCATCCATAGTTTGCAAAGGAGAGGAGTGCAGACACCCAGACAGAAATATCCCAGCACCACACCAGCCCAGTGCTGCTTCTGGCAGCTTCCACTGGCTCCTGCTCAGCATCCCACTGGCTCAGCATGGTTGTTTCTGGTCCAGGATCCCTGTCCTGTGCTCTGATAGCCAGTACCACCATCATCCTGGTGAGCACAGGGCTTTTCCTCCTGTCTTCTCCATCCTTCATGCAGAAGTCCCTGGGAGATGCAGCTTGAAGGCTCTTTAGGACTTGTCCCAACCCTCTCCTCACCCTGACAGCATCACCTCCCTGCATGGAGGGAGCATGGGGGAAGCCCAAGGAGCAGAGCAGTGGCCCTGCCCTGACACAACCCAGCTCATTTCCACTCTGGGAAGGCCACTCAGTTCCCACAGAGCCAGTCCTAGTTACAGCATGCCCTCTCACACAGGGGAGCACAGCCTCACCTCTGGGCTCAGCCCTTCCCCTGCCACTCGCTCTCACCAGGATCCTGACACCAGCTCTGGCCAGCACTGCTCCATTAGCTCACTCTGAAAGAGGCTTAATAGAAAATCTGCTCAATTATTTAGCAAGCAGACAAAGAGAGGGATGATATTGCCTGAAGACAGCCAGGGCCTGTGGTGTGGATCCAGCCCAGCTCCTGGCTCAGCCTGGCAGATTTCCTCTCCTCCCTGCTCAGTCATTAAGGCTGCAGAAGGGAGCAAAGGGACAAAGGGACATCCCTGCCCTCGGCCCTGCCAGCCCCTGGCACTCCCAGTGCTGCCCAACACCTCTCAGAGCTGAGGGCTGGGAGGAGGCACCAGGAGCAGCACCAGCCCATCCTGCCAGAGCCAGAGAGGAAAGGCACCTCTGCTCCCTCAAAAGCACAGCCTGCTCCATCCAGGGACCACGGGGATGATGGATCAGTGGTGTCCTCACAGCCCAGCCTGGGCAATGCTCCCTTTCCTTGTGCTTAATGGCTCTGCTTGATGCCAGGAGTCCACAGCAAGAGGACTCAATGCCTGGATGAGTGTCCTGTGCTGGAAAAGGAGCAGCTGAGGCATCTGATTGCAGCCTGAGAACACGACTGGATGAGCTGGCAGGGCCCTGGCTCTTACTTACTGAACTTCCCCACTGCAATGTTCTCATCCCATAAATGGGACTTTGCTCCTTCATCACCAGATGAGCCCATTCCCTATGTCCCAGATGTTTGCAGCACCTTCCAACCAAGTGCCTGGCAATGTCTGCTCACTGGGTTAGAGACAACCAGAAAACACACAGCCAAGGCAAGGAGGTGTCCCAAGGTCCTGTCCCTGTCCTCATTCTCTGGGGCACAGCCTCCTCACAGGGAACCAGTCAGGGTCACCCTGTCCCTGGTAATTCCCACAGGGACATTCCCACATGCAAATGTGGGTTGGAAAATCTCTTTGTTAATGATTTCTCTCAATCTGGGAGTTACCAAATGGGACCTGGAAGAGATTTCTACCAGCTTGCAGCACTGCCCAGGCAGAGTGCTTCTGGGGGAGGACAAAAGCCTGTCCTATTATCCTGCCTGCTGCACTGAGAAAGGAGAAAGGAAAGCTGTCTACAGATGAGTTCATGTAAATGGCTCTGCTCTGGAGAGCCTGGTTACATACAGGACCCTTTAAATCACTTCAGCCATGGCAATCATCTCCCATGAGAGTGTGAAGAGGAAGGTTTGAATTCTCCTGTTCCATTCCTCTTACTCATGCACCTGGATACAGATGCTTCCATTGCTGTGCTCTGGGCCAGCCATCATGGACAGGCACCATCTCCCTGGGTTTTGGGTCATTCCTACCCCAGCTGCACCTCTCAGGTTTCAGCAGCCTGTGGTGATGTTGCCTTGGACAGAGGATGAAACCAGGGCTGAGCCACCAAGGAATACAAAGGCAGCAGAAAGGCCTCAGTGTTTTGGTTTTCTCCATCCCATCTCTGTTTGCCATTTCCCAGTGTGGCTGCACAGAGCAGAACAGCTCTGTAAGTGGGGTGCAACACCCAGGCCTCAGTTCAGAGTGCTGCCAAGAGTGTGGGGGCTCAGTGCTCCCTTTCCCTGACACTGCCTGTGCCTCTGCCTGGCTCTGCCATCCCCTCTGCTCAGGCAGCA